AAGAACCTTGACTGTAAATGCTAAATCTATTTGAGCAACTTATGCTACAATTTTCAATTTGACAGTATTTATATAAACTAGAAAATACTACTGATATTTGAAATAGAATCATTTTGACATCATTTCTTCTAATGATATACAACTGCACAAGAAATTACAAGAGTGTGCAGCACTAAAAGTTCTCAGATTGTCCCACAAACCTGAACAATTGTTAAAATTTCTTTTTTAAGTACTTATGACAAATTTTCAGCAACCCATTGATATATGCAAAAAAAGTATTTAAGTCATTAAATAAGACTGAATACAATGTCAAAATTCTGAGTCCTTATTTTTTTGTAGATACAAATTTAACAAATATTTACTAATAATTTTACCATCAACTATGACAAAATGAATTTAAAATATCACTTTACATTTAAAAAACAAAAAAAAAAAAATGTATTTAAATCCAGAATCAATATGGTTAAAAATAAAATGTGGGTTAATGAAATAATTTTTTTTGGTTTAGCCAAAGTTCACAAAAGGCTACTTATTTTTGTTTGTTTATATATAAAATGCATAGAAAGTGCATCAAGAAAAAACAAAATTAATAAAAATCTATTTATGACATTAATTGATCTAAAGTTCAGAATAATTGAACAATAAAATTTGAAACTAAAAAAAATTAAACATCAGTTTTAATTTCTTTCATTTGCTTTCTTTCTCTTTTTTTTCTTAATTTGTTCCTATGGCTCTTTTGTTTAGAAAAAGAAAATCAATATTTGTGTAAGAATCCTGAAAATGACCTACTTTTAAAAAATAATTTTCGAATAAATCAAAATCGAAAATGAGAAAAAGAATTTAAAAAATTTTTGATAAAACTTCAGTTCCATTTCTCAGAAAACACCAATTCCTCTTTCATTATTTTTCTTTTCCTGGATTTTAAAAGACTTGTTGCAAAGGCAAGAAAAAAACCAATAGAATATAATTCAAATTCAGTTGAGACAGAAATTGTGGTTTTTAAGCTCATGCCAAGATATTTCATTCAAATTTTTTTTCCTTTTCATTCTCACTTGTTCACTCACACATTCTCTCATGCCTAACCACATCCATAAACAATAATAAGTTTCTTGATTTTGTAATTTTTCATTGGAGGTAACGTTTTCATCATGTTGGCAATTCTCACTAAGGAAGATCAAAAGTGTAAATATCTTTTGCTTTGGAAACACGAAACATTCATAATAATTTTTTTCACTGGAAAATTTTCTTTTTTATTTTAAAAAAATTATTTCTTTAAATTTTCAAAGTAATAAATTAGAAACAAATCACATGCAGTTGCATGTCTTAGTCACATTCTCTTTAGTGATAATATTATAACCATAAATTATAGCAAAATCTTTTCTCACAAAAAAACAAACCAACATTTTCTAAGGCAGATGCTTACACATATGGTCTTCTGTAGTGAAAAATGGTTGAGGAACCTTCAATAAAAAAAAAAAAAACGATCTTGAATCTTTTTAGCAGTGCAGCCCACCTTATGATGAGGCAGCCGCAAATCTCATGTAGCTCACTACTCAAAAAAAAGGTTACCCATGCCTGGCTTAATTGTTTGGTTTTGTCATTCATTATAATTAAATTGAAACTGAAAATCCAAACCTAAAGTTTGCTGGATAAAAATAAAAGAGACGTTTGTTCTTTAGCACAGCTAAAACAAAAATTACAGATAAATTCGCTTTCTACGTTTTATAATAGCGCGACTTTTTACAAAGGGGAGATAACTCTAAAAACAGTGGAGGGAAGAGAACTCTTTATTTTGAATTTTTTTTTTTTTATTTATTTATTTCGTTAGAAATTTTGAGACTAAATTATTTTAACAGAACTCGAAATGAACTGTTTATTTTCATTATTTATTCCTTGCTTATTTTTTTCTTATTGTTCGAATACCCTTGTTCGTTAAGTAAGTAGAGTGAAATAAGACTAAAGGTATTTTCAAACCAGTCTTTGTTTAATCAATTTAGCCATGAAAGCCAAATGACTAAACAAGGCACAAAATCTAGTCACTTTGCTATCCTCTGAAGCAAATCTTTATTCTTATTTCACACGATTTATTTGTATTGCAAGAATTGAAATGAAAAAAAAAAAAAAACAAGAATAAAATTAAGAAAAGTCTTGGTAGAGATTAATAATAAAAGTCCAAGATTTTGTGAACCAATTTTGAACTTTTCTCTAAGAAATCTGCTAAATAAAAATATTTGTAGTCATCTTCCTTGGTTTGTTCTAGAACAAGACTACACAAAAAAGTATCAACTGGGGAGTTTAAAATGCTTACTAAACTTTGGCAAGGTTCCATACAAATATTAAAAATTAAAATGCAATGTCTATCGTTATCTTTTGTCTCCATCATTCCTCTTCCCTCCTTAATGTTTTTTTCTTATATTCTTTCACATGCACTAACCCCTTGCATCTTAGTAGCTTTATTGCCTTGCTTGGGATGAAATGATTAAAAAAATTGATTGATTAAAACAAAGCTACGGACTTTCTGATTTTATAACAAATAAATTTTTAAATTCTCAGATTCTTTGGTTTGCCTGTACATATTAAAAATAAAATGTAGCCTTAGATTAAAAAAAAAAGACAATCCTGAAGTTTTTATAAAATTAACCATTATTAATTTTAAACCAGTATTTTTTTTATCACAACCACTTTAACATTTATACTTAATGATCCATGGCTGTTAATGGCTGTAGAACAACAGTTTGAGAAGTTGCAATGGAAAGCAATGAAAATTAAGATTAAAAAATGCATTTCAAAAATTAATAAAATTGTCTTTATATAAAAAAAGAATCTTCCACTTAGATATTTTTTTTAGCTATATATATGTGTCCCTATGTAAAGTCTGACATTTAAAAAGCTAAAACGTTAATTGTGAAATAAAAAGAATAAAGCATAAAAGTATATCAAAGAAAATACTTGAGTATTATCAAATATGCTTATCAGAGTTACTTTTGTCTTTTGTACACTTGTGGCCAAAAATAGGGGATTAATTTCAAACTTGTTATAGTCGAAGACTGATCCACCACTTTATGTCATAACCACAATTTCTTGATTACATATAAGAATATGTCTCATAATTACGTTTTTACTGACTGAATTATAGAAACAATATCAAGAATCTATTGTGGCTCAAAAAGGAGGACCAATTTATGAACTGCATTTGAGAGCAAGTAAAACACAAACAGAAAAAAAAAAAAAAAAAAAAAAACACTTCAGTCTGCATCTTATATGTAAAGCTATATGTTCCCTAAAGACTAATTTTATCCCGAAAACTCACTAATGTAGACTATAATTTTAGTCACTTTGGTATTACTGAAGTAAACTCATCCACCAATAGAGAAAAATTACTTTTGGAAGTAATTTTTGGAGATTAGCGTTCATTAAAATTTCCTCAAGACACATTTGTAAGAATTGAAAAATATTGATTATTTTTTTTAACCATTTCAGAAGTGGGGTCCTGTTTATAATATTGATACAGTATAAAATTGATCTCTGACTTTTTACAGAGTTATTGAACTTAATTGTTATCTACAAAAGGTTTTTACAGATTTATCTATATTTAGCTGTCCTGCATATGAAAACAGATTTTTTTTTTTGTGTGTTTTTTTACAAAAAAATTCTTTTACATAAAGATCAAATGGATGTAGATATTTTAATTAAAGAACAAAGATTTACATAAATTAAAAGTATAAAAGTATATACCCCTTTATTCTTCATTTAGGATAAATAATTATTATCTCCCAATGAAAAAAACATTTCAAATACTTTTTGGGGGTTGATTTTTTTTTAAATGTGCTTAAAAAAAAAAAAATAAATAAATAAAATAATAAAATTATATTAAATTAAAAATTTCACCCAAATACAGTTTTTTAATTCAAAAAATTTTTAAAAATGCAGATATCAATGATGTTAGCACAGTTTCAAACTTGACATTTGTAAATAGCAACTAAGTTTAATAACTCTGTAATAAGTCAAGGATAAATGTTATGGCTAGTGGAAGGTCTAGTGAATGTTAATCTACAAAAGTTATTCACCAAAACCATTTTCCCTTTTATTTACAAGTGGACCACTAGATTTAAGTAGTTCCTTCACTTTTACATAGGCTGAACTTTTCTCAACCACCACCACCCTCTTTACTATCAGTACAGTAAAAGAAATTATCATAAATTACCAATGAATTCTGCCAGTGCCAGTTAATACATTATACCTAAAAATAACTCAATACACTCCTATCCTTAACCTGTTTTATGTTCAACTATACTGTTAGCTTGCTTTTTATATACAGTAATGATTTCTGTTATTACCAAAGTGCTTTTGTAATGTTTTTCTTGAAATATTACATGCTTAATTACACAAAAAGATTTTTCCTGAAATATAAGAAGCATGTCATATTGCCGTGTCTTTTATACTGTCAAATACAGTAATTATAAAATTGACCCCCAATGTTATATTAATAAAATGATTTTGTTGCTAGTTAAAGCAAATATAAATTCCCTGCCAGCATGTTTCTCTGAATTACTTTCTTCTTCATTTAAGTACATTTCTTGCATTTATTTTTCTTTAAGTTTTTTGTTTTTTTTTGTTCCTGTTGGCCAGTATCCAATATTTAAAAAAGCTGGGTCAAAACAAAAATTGTTTAAATTACCAAGAAGATGAAAGAGAGAAAAAAAAAAAAAATCACAAAATTTTTGGTTTGGAAAAAATTGAAACATACTTTTGTCAAATTCTTGACAGCATTTCCTATCATTTTTTTTTTTTAAAATCAGGTAGCCTGAATTATACAACAGTCTCATATTTCACCCTGGGATGACCTTCTCCTTCAAGTAAGTACAAATATCTGCAATAAGGAAAAGATAAAAATCACAACATATTTTACAAGTAAATAAATGACATGTAAAAAATATCTACATTAAATCCTGGGTACTTCCTCATAAATTCAATATCAACACAAAAAAGGTATCAGATATTCAAACAAATATGTCCTGGATAGAAAGAAAGAAAAAAGAAAGGAAAAAGAAAAAAGAAAGGAAAAAGAAAAAAGAAAGGAAAAAGAAAAAAGAAAAAGAAAGAAAAAAGAAAAAGAAAGAAAAAAGAAAAAGAAGGGAACAGAAGAAAAAGAGAAGCAAACAGAAGAAAAGAAAAAGATTTTTGTTCACAGTATGTTGAGTATTAAATTTTTTACTTCTTTTTAGAACATTTGAAATTTTGATTAAAAAATTTGTTTTTCTTGCGTCAGTGGTTGTACTAACTTTTAGCACAGCAAATTTTAGCCTCCTTTTTGTGGTTATAGACACATTAATTTGGAAATTCTTACAAAAATCAAATAATGAATAAAATTATTTAAAAAATGTTTTTTTATTAGAAAATTTGTAAATTTTTTTTACAAATATGTTTTACTCCTTTGCTTAATTTTATGAAAACTTGAGAAATTCAACATAATTTTTAATGACTATATCTGTTAAAAGCAGAATTTGCTGAAGAATTTAAATTACCATTGAAAATCAATTGTGAATTGAAAAAATAAAAAATGCAATAAAACTAAAACATTATTAGAGAAGCTTTTAATTGCTTTTATGAATAATATATATTAAAGACAATAATGTCTGAAGAAAAAAATTTTTTTTTGATGAAAAATGAATTTTTACAAGATGTTTTCATTTTTGCGATTTTAAATTGAATAATTTATAGTTTTTAAATCTTTTAAAATTCAGATCAATGAAATAACTCTTAGAAAATATTGTTATTAAGTAAAACTATATTTACTAATCATGTATTGTAAAGCTTATTACAATCTGATGACCATGAATATTTTTAAAAGAATTTCAATTTGTTTTTGGATGTGTATTATATGTGCAGAATTTCTAAGTATGGATGTTCAAACCAATAAATCTATCATTAAAAGGTCACATGTTTTAAGGGTTGTCCCCCTTATAAATTTTATCGTCCGCTCTACCACTTAACTAGGAACACCTTCAACGGTCATTCAGTTGTCAATAAATTGATTAATACATCAGAAAAGCAAGACCCCATGGTAAAGAAATGCTTGTATACAACATTCTGCCCTAAGTAATTAATATTTGTTTAAAATCAGATTAATTTAACTTTAAATTTGCTAATTTTACTCAAAGAACAATCTACCTCGGTGGATGAAATAAAGGGATCAGTTTGAAATTCCAATTACCTGAAGAGGGCTGGAGCATACAACAGCCAAAACATTGTGAATATTTCAATGAAGATGAGGATAACAGTCCTAATATAGATATAGACATTTTTTTTAATTCAAATTTATCCCAGGTAAGGCGGTAAAGCCACTAAGATACAATGGGTTACTGAGTGTGAAAGAATTAGAAAACAAAGATTATGAAGGAGCAAGAACAATGGAAGAGGATTGAGAAAGTGGATAATGATTGACATTCCATTTAAATTTTGGAAGATCAAAATTGGCCCAAAAGCATGGAGACAGAAGAGAGTTCCACAAGCAAGAAGTGTGAGAAAAGAAACTTAACATAGAACTTACAGCTAGACAATTCAACTGTAAATTGATGAGACCTTGTTGCCAATCTAGTACTGTGCTTAAATTCTTAAAGTTTAACTGCCATAGCGAAAAACTCAGCTGAACAATTACCATGAAAGTATTTATAGAAAAAGCACAAGGAAGTTATGTTACAGTGGGGAGAAAGTGACTGAAGCTGAGACGCCAGGTCAGGACCAATAATATTGCTGATTCTTCTTTAGATTTTATCAAGAATCTCTAAATACATAGTAGGAGCACTGGACCATATGTGGTGGCAATATTCTAAGCATAGGTGAACTTGTTCACAAAGAAATAACTCAAAGTAAGAATCTGCAATGTTATTCGTCCTGACCTGGCATCTTGCCTTCAGTCACTTTCCAATTAATGTAATATAGTTTCCCTGTGCTTTTTCTATAAATACTTTCATGGTAATTGTTCTGCGGAATTTCCCTCTATGGTACTCAGACTTTATGAATTTAAGTGCAGTACTAGATTTTCAACAAGGTCTCATCAATTTACAGTTTAATTTGCTAGATCTAACCGTAAGTTCTACCCTAACAATTTCTTTTCTCACACGGGAAACTCTTCCAGCTTCTTACTTTCCAGCCGACTTTGAGCTTCCAAAATTTAAATGCAATGTCAATCGCTATCTACTGTGTTCTTGATTCTTCTTCTTTTATTGTTCTAGCTCTTTGATAATCTTTTTCTTATTTTTTCACTCAGTAACCCTTTGTATCTTAGTGGCATTACTGCCTTGGTTGGGGTGAAATGATTAAAAAAAAATTTCAAATTAAAACACCCAATTCTCCACTTGCTTAATAGCTTGTAATTAAAGAGCCATAGAATTATGGCTCCAGCTTCAACTGTAGCTGAGCCCATAAATTAAAGGTTATTTAGTTCTGCTACGATATTGTTAAATTTACAATAACTTTTTGACTGGTTACAAAATTGTACTCCAGGGGTATAATCAGAAAGAATCAAGAGCCAAACAAAATGGTGTCCATTTTCTGAACGTCAAGGGGAATAACTCTCACATATCTAATTAACAAAAGTTTAGAAACGTTTGTTTAGGACAAAATTAGATGCCACAAAGAAAATAGGGGGGGGGTGCTCGATCTAATTAAAAATGACACCCTCCATAAAGTCAGTATCAGAAAAATCTTCTACAAGAACATAAAAGCAGAAATTTCTAGATATTAAAGAAAAATTTTAACAAAAGAATAAAAATAACTAATCAAATCAACTGATTGCCTGCTTCATTTACAATGTGTTCATCCTCCAAGAGAATTGGTAACCAGAAGTTTTGGTACTCACTTGTCTAATTCTTCATCCAACCATTGTCTGTGAAGTAGGTTTTCAATCCATGACTTGGGAATGGCATCTAGACCCAACTTACAACCAAGAATTGTTCCTGCTGCAGCTGTATTTGCATCAGCATCCCCACCCTAAAAATGAAGAATATGATCACAAATAAGAATATTAAACAAAAGCAAAATTAGTCTGAACATAATCTGTGAAAGGAAAGATTAAAAATAATTTTAGGATCAAATTATCGAACAGGGATCAGTTTCTATTCTGAAAATAAACCAAAAAGAAAAATTTGATTTTATTGCTAAAAAAAAAAAAAAAAAAAATTAAAATTTCCTGCAGTTTTACTAAAAAAAAAATTGGCCTTGTCTCAAACACATTATTAACAAAATATAAATATGTAATTATATATGAGAAGGTGTTGAAAATTTCTTGATCCAATCAAGAAGTCCTTCTCTGCCAAAATTTGATGTGCTGTCAGATTTTGGGAAGTTGGTTGGACCAAGAATTTTTTAGTATCACCTTGTGCGTGTTCATTCATGCATGCTACATTAAACAGACAGAATGTTTATTGTGACATTTGGGAAGCTTTTTCTGATGTCAAACAAGTCTTTTTATTTCAGGTGGAAACTTATTTCATTTTGGCAAGCCCCTTTCAAAGTTTGGAAGAAAGAAAGAATAAAATCTCAAAACAAACAAAAAATAATATTTACAACAATACCAAAGGACTTGAAAAAGAAAAAAAAAAGAAACAGAAAGTTTAGTTGTGTTTATGTTGATGGACTTATTGAATAAAAAAGTTGGTGGTATTATCGGTGCCCATCTTGTGGTGTTTGGAATAGTTGGTGTGAGAATCTAATCCATCATGAAGAGGCGCATGTGTACATTAGGCTGGCAACTTTGAGGCCAGGTACAACAACTAAAGAGGCTTCTATTATATATACACACACTGATAGATGTGTGTGCAGATGTGCATATATATATATATATATATATATATATATATATATATATGTGTGTGTGTGTGTGTGTGTACAAATACACACTGGCTTTTCTCTTAAGACCAATGATGGCCAAAAGTACTTGTGTCTTAACATTTCATTTTGACAAGTTCCTTTGTAATTTCCACCTGAAATAAAGGGACTTGTTTAATGCCAGGAAAAGTCCCCCCCCCAAAAAAAAAGGCTCAATAAACATTCTCTCTCTGTTCTATTTTAACAGAACATGATTGAATGAAATTGTTAAAAAAAAAAAAAAAAAAAAAGACTCACTTTTATTTATTAGATATTAAGTAACATAACTTAGTGTTCTTTATAATTTTTATAATTTACCTTGACATTTCAATTAACCTGATGAATATTCATGAGCATTTCTTAAATTATAAAGATTTTACAAAACTAACAACATTTTTAATGAATACTTGATGCAAAATAAAATCCTTACATGTTCCTTGACAAAGTCCATCAGAGGCTGAAATACATCGACTAAGATAAGTTTTCCTTTTGTTTTTATTATTTTTATTTTATTTTTTACACAACACACACACGTATATACATATAAATATAAAAGTGAAACAGTGTCACCCCTGAGTATCGACTTCAACGTTTACTTTACATATGCTCTATCTCTGATATTAAGAACTTTATCCCATAAATATAGCATGCCTTAAAACTTTATATATATATATATATATATATATATATATATATATATATATATATATATATATATAATTATTTATTTAAAAAAATTATAACATAAATATGTTATAAAATCACTACAAAAATAGCCATTTTGTTTCAACACCTCGGTGTCTTATCAAGTGATGATGAAGAATGTAAAATAAATGGTTTTAAAAGTTTCAAATTAATTAACAATCCTTCACAGGGGAAAAACGTTGTTACAAAAGCTAGATGGACCAATCAAAATACAAGTATAGGAAAATTCAAAAAGCTTGACAACGAAGTCATGTTATAATAGCTATTCAGATGTTTAAAATATGGGTAGTATTAAAAAAGAAATTATTCTAACCAATAGTTACTAAATTATATGATAAAATTTAATATTAAAATTAAAAACTGCTAATTTCAAAATCAAAATTTAATCACTATTAAGTTTACAACTATAAAATTGCTGAGGAGAAAAGAAGAAACATGTTATTCAATTTATTTCTTCATTGAAGTTACTTTAGCTAATTTTATATCCGGTCCTTTGACAATGTATACATTTTAATCCTAAGAGTGTGTGAATGGGGTCTTAAACTCATGCAAAAGAAGAAACATGTTATTCAATTTATTTCTTCATTGAAGTTACTTTAGCTAATTTTATATCCGGTCCTTTGACAATGTATACATTTTAATCCTAAGAGTGTGTGAATGGGGTCTTAAACTCATGCAAAAGAAGAAACATGTTATTCAATTTATTTCTTCATTGAAGTTACTTTAGCTAATTTTATATCCGGTCCTTTGACAATGTATACATTTTAATCCTAAAATTGTGTGAATGGGGTCTTAAACTCATGCAAAAGAAAAAATGTTATTCAATTTATTTCTTCATTGAAGTTACTTTAGCTAATTTTATATCCGGTCCTTTGACAATGTAACATTTTAATCCTAAGAGTGTGTGAATGGGTCTTAAACTCATGCAAAAGAAGAAACATGTTATTCAATTTATTTCTTCATTGAAGTTACTTTAGCTAATTTTATATCCGGTCCTTTGACAATGTATACATTGTATTGAGCACTTATTAAACTGAACTTATTAAAAGTGCTCAATACAATGTTAGAAGGCCAGACTTGTAGAGCTGTTTAATATTTAAGAAGGATGAAAGCTGACCAAAGCACGACATTTTGGCACTAAAATAAAATGTTATATTTATTGGGAAATCCGTATGGTAATTTTCAACATTATTTTAGCCATTTAGTTTCAATTTTATTCCTAACACCAAAATCAACAAAATGTCCTCATAATTATGATTTTTTTTTTGACAAAATTTATAGATGTGTATTATACATAATTTTTGGATAATTTGTTGGGGTGTGTATTATTTTCAAGAAATTATCGTAATAAACTTATTAAACCTGATCCACAAAGAGAGCTCAATATATTTATTATAGAGCATATATAGATATTTTACATTTAACATGGAGTATTGAGTTTTATTAAATGTAAATTATCTCTCTCTCTTATATATATATATATATAGTGTGTGTGTGTGTGTGTGAGGTGGATCAATAAGTCTGTAGCACAACATATAGCTGTTTACTAATTTTGCTTGGAAAATTTTCCTGTATAATATTTAATATATGCAATTATTATTCACATCTGAATTAAGTGCATTGACAGGAAAAGAGATGTTGAAAAATAAATATTTTTTATGTTAAATGTTTCTTCCATCATTCATCTTTGGACTTATTAATGTACTTACCTATATACAAAACCAGTCATTCAATTCTCTTTTAATTCAATCATAACTTAATCAAAAGGTTTATTTGATTACAATTCATGTTTCTGTTAATTCATGGTACTTAAAAGACATGGTAGGTGTATCGTAAGAGGGGCAAAAATGATTTGTTGAATTATTACCGAAAAAAAAAAAAACAGGTTTACTCATGTTGATCCCTACCTGCATGACAACTTCTTGTAGAGTTTTTCGATAATCTTTCTGCCTGAGGGCCCACATTCCAACTCCAAGAGTCTTGTAAATATATCTGGTTCTTCCAGGCTCATCAAGATCCAGTTGTTTCAAAGACGTACAGAATACGTGTCTTTGTAATTCCAAAACCTAAACAAAAAATAAAATAAAAAGGGAAAAATGTGCTTCCAATTCAAGAACTGATTTTTTTTTTTTTTACTTTGGATAAGATATTTTCTATTTGGGAGAAGAAAAAAATATTTGTCCTCTGGGACAGTGTTTCTTTGTTTGTTATTTTGTATTGTGTGTGTATATATATATATATATATATATATAAGTGTACATTAAAGTCAACATTCAGAGGAGATTGGCTGTTTCATGCTAGATGCAATCATCAGGCTGCCTGACGAATGCATCTAGCATGAAAAAGCTTGTCATCTCTGAGTGTTGACTTCAATGTTCACTTATATATATATGTGTGTGTGTGTGTGTTTTGAACAATAAAAAAATATTAAAAAAATTAAAATTTTCAGAGACACTGGGTTGTATATTAATATTTTTTTGTTTTATTATTTCAATTAGCTTGCACGACTAGTTTCAGCCAGCAATGGCCATCATCAGGAGAAAAAAATCCCTGCTTGTTAGTAGCAGTGAACTACAGAAGTGAATGACTGTCACTGAAGAAAGTGAATTTGTTAATTTTGGACAGTCCTTGTATTGGTTAAATGGCCTCTTTCAATTTGTTTTTAACAGAGAGGCTGGGAGATTCCTGATTCTCAGAATTCCCTCCTTGGTCATTTTGACACTTTTATTGGTTGCTGGGAATGGGATGTGTGTGTTAAGTGCATGTAATGTGAGTGTGTGTATATGTGTGAAACCTCAACACCTCTACAAGCATGTCAGTCTTGTGTGGGTGAAAAATGTGGACAGGCTTGATTTATGGGATTATATATTAATTCTATCTGTGTTGTTTAATTTGTGGTGAAGTCCATCAGGTTAAAATGCTTTGAGGTGCAAAATCCATTCGTCTTCATGTTCCTCTTGTATTTTTCTAAAGTTATCTTTCATGTCTATTTCTATTTTTTCAATGAAAATGAAATTTGCATGGCTTTTTAAAATCATGTTTTTCTAGGTGGAAATGTTGTTCTACAGGTAATAATCTTTTATGGAGAGCCGACTTGATCTGATTTCAATAATTATTAATTCCGTAGAGAATAGGCCATTCAGATTTTCCCACATATTGTTTCTGGCATAGTGTGCATTCTAATAAGTAAATTATGTTATGACTATTATATATATATATATATATATATATATATATATATATATATATATATATATCACAATGTGGTTTTCAGTCAGGTCGTGGCACCATTGACATGATATTTTCTCTTCGTCAAGTTGCAGAGAAGATTCAAGAGAAAAACCAGGAGTTGTACATTGTGTTTGTGGACTTGACGAAGGCCTTTGACACTGTGAATCGAGAAGCTTTTTGGCAAGTCTTGGGGAAACTCGGCATATGTGGCCTCCTTTGTAAATGACTAGTGGGTCTTAAGTGCCACTTAAGATTATCGCACAAAATTTCATAACTGAATCAACTGGTTAAGTTGTCAGATCCTCATACGTTGAAACTGACAGGAGAATCCATTATTACATTATATATATATATATATATATATATATATATATATATATATATATATATAAAGTATATTCAAATAAAAAGAAAGAACAGTAAGATATGTAATCCAGTGTTCTTATTGATATCTTTTATTTTTACAAAATAGTGCTCAATGTAAATTTACAGAGCATTAATATTGGATTTCTCTGTATCCTTGGTAACCATAAATTATGAATTTCCCTTGCAGTTAAAACTCAGTAAATTTTAAAAAAATACGTTACTCCAAAATTCGCTTGAAATGGAACTAATGTTTTTAATTTAAAATGAAACATGGTTATTACAGTGTAGCGAAAAAACCATATTTTAAATAAATAATTTTTATATATATATATATATATATATATATATATATATATATATATATATATATCCTCCTGCTCCTCCTTTAGTTCTGTAGACTCCACCAAGAATTATAGGGACCCACAGATCTTAATAACAATAGGCACTGATGCTGTGGTTTCCATAGCAAATGTGTGTTATGGGATAAATTTGCTACCCTCATGCACAATTGCTTTTTTACACAGTGTTCCTAAATTACCCCACCCCCAGTAAGTACTGACCAGGTTTGACACTACTTAACTTTGTTGTTCAAACAAGAACCAAATGTCTCAGTGTAATTTGACCATAAGCTCTTATAACTATAGAAGGAAAAAAACTATTCATGAGATACCATAGGTCTGAGGCTTGTATGCAAAACATTTTCAGCACTGGGTGCTCTTAGTTAATATAGATACTCCGTTAGTGGCCTGCAACTGCATTGCCCTCATATGCAACAAGAATCAATGTACTGTGTGTTGTAACACATTCCTTTCTTTATTTTGATGGAAACTATCTTCAGTTTGTGACCCAATAGTCCTTCAACTTTTAACTGTTGTCCTCATCTTTATTGCCATCTTCACAATGTTTCAACCTTATTCAGATGATATACTGATATAATGGAATATGCGTACAATTGTGTTCCTCCTCACTGGAATATGATTGGCTGGTGTCCGTCATAAATACCAGCGGATGTGTAGGAGAGTCAGAGCCTTAGTCTGAGAGCTAAATCTATAATGACACTCATTGGACTACGGCATTGATCTACACCACATAAGAAGATCCATGGTTTGCAAATCTGGGGGACATGGTTGCCAGTTTACGCACCAACTGTGAGAAATTATTCTTTTCCCAGAAATTTGCCTGAGAAGCTGAATTGTAGCCTTTGTCATAGGCCTGTTGGCCTATCTTGTTGTACATAAACATGTTGGTGCATTTAAATATCCATTGGAGTGATGTCCAAGAGATCCAAGCCTGTTGAGACCACCTTTGTGTTGATGTTTGGATCGTCTTCAATACTTACTCAAATACTCCTGTTCCTAACTGAAATGGGGGTCTGCCACTTCATGGAAGGTCACAATACTGAAACTTTACTCTCATACCCTAACGGCAACACTGTGCTCATTGTGTTTGAATTATTAAATCTTTGATTTTGGTTGAAAGATTTCACTACTTGTTTTTGTTTTTCTGTTGTGTATTTTTACATAATTAATTTCCAAAGATTTCTTTATAAGATGCTTGAAAGTAAACTAAAAAAAAAAGTTAATAAACAAAAAAAGTTATTAAACTTTCAAACTCCTTGGTGACTTTTGGGACACCCTGTATATGTTGTGAAAGTAAAAAAATCTTCTTGAACTTGAATGAAGGCAGGTTTGAGAAAATAATAGCCTACCTCTGGCATACAAAGCCTAAGGCGAGCAATGAAACCAGAATAGAGTTAAAAAGAACATTTCCTGAGAGTTTCTTTATGAAGAAGATTAAACCAAATTCTTACCTCAGAATCAGTAGAAAGCAACTTAGATGCATAGTCAAAGGCATCCGAAATTATTGCCTCGGCATCAAATTCACCAGATTTTTTCAAATGTTTAGGTTCACGCTGTAATAACATTGCAATAGTAACCGACATAGCAACACAAGCTGCTTGACATCTGGAAAAAAAAAAACATTTAAAAAATATTGAAAAACAATGTTAGAGTTATTATTTCACAAAGTAATTTTCTGCCAAAAAGCATCCAATAGATAACTGGATCTGTAATCTTACTTATTATAAAACGCAGATTGTGTGTGTGTGTGTGTCTGTACGTTTATATATTGGATCGGATTTCCTACATTTTTCAACCGATTTCAACAAAACTTCACGGGACTATGTAAAATTACCTTGTGCTGGTTCTGACAGCACCAAAAATTGGAAAAACAATTGTTTTTGCATGAAATCAATTTGAAAACACGATTAAGAGTCATCGCGAGAATGAAAGGGGGACAACTCATATCGAGTTATACTTATTATAAAATCCAGGTTGTTTGTGTGTGTTCGTTTATATATGGGATCAGATTTCCTACATTTTTCAACCGATTTCGACAAAACTTCACTTTAATAATAATTAAGACATGCGTGTCCGTCAACCTTAAACAATAATCTTTGTCAATTTTATTTTTCAGTCTTTATGATGGTCAATACTTGATCTATCTCTTACTGTTACATCCCCGGCCAACGTCGGGCTCTACTGCTAGTCTTCAATAAATCTAAAAACATTCAAGTGACTTATCTGGTTAGTTGACTCAAGAGTTTCACATTGAAGTGCTCATTAGAGCCAGATATCTAAGGCCAGATATTTGTTAAAACTTAATTTATCAAACATCTGGCCCTGATGAATATTTCGATGTAAAACTCTTGAGTTGGTTTAACCAAATACATCACTTGAACTTTTGATTTATTGAAATGTAAGGAAAAATTTCCACTCAGACAACAATTCTTGGGGCAGAGGAAAAATTAATTTGTGGAACAGTCTTCCATGTGGATGATTCCCTGGACATTACAATTTTAATCTCTTCAAGTCAAAGGTCAATCTTTATCTATCCTCATTGTTATCACTTCCTACCACATCACTACCTTGAGTGGCTCTAAAGCTTTGTATCAGGTTAATTCAAGTAGAAATAAAAAATTGAATCCAAGGAAGTCTTAATATCTCTCATGCACAAGTTGAGGACAAGACAAAAGAAAAAAAATTAAAAGGTAAAAAAAGAAAAATTTGCACAATGAAATGAATATGAACTTACCGAGGATCTGGCTGTAAGATTGCGCACAGGTGTAGAGCATTTTTTATCACTTTACCAAGAGCATTATAATAGTGGATACCAAGAATGGGGGTAAAGGACATAATCAAGTTACAAGCCACATAATTACCACCCTTGCGCCACACAATTTCAGCTGCCTGAATAAAAAAAATAATTGACACAAATAAAAATCAAGAAAATCAGAAAAAAAAAAATTTAAATTAACCAAAAAAAAAAAAAAAAAAAAGAAAAAAAAAAAAAACAAGAGAAAAATGTTTTTTTCTCTTTTTTTTTTTCTTCTTGTTTTTTCTTTTTATTTTTCAAGAAAAAAAAAGAAAAAAAAACAGAAAAAAAACAAGAAAAAAAAAAACAGAAAAAAAAAACAAAAAAAAAAAAAAAAAAAAAAAAAAAAAAAAAAAAAAAAAAAAAAAAGAAAAAAAAAACAAAAAAAAAAAACAAAGAAAAAAAAAGAAAAAAAAACAAGAAAAAAAAAAAAGAAAAAAAAACAAGAAAAAAAAACAAGAAAAAAAAAACAAGAAAAAAAAACAAGAAAAAAAAGAATGTTCAAATTACTAAAAAATTCCAATTTCAATTGACAAACACAGATTGTCCTTAAATATCAGTTTCTAAAATAAAATTATGACTTTAACAAATCTAAATGCAGTTTTACAGGACAAAAGAAAATATTTGTGTCTTCCTGAATCTCATTGTTTTTATTGTCATTTCTTTTCATGAATATTTTGTCATCTTCTGCACTCAATAACCTGTTGCATCTCAATGGCATTATTGCTATTCTTGGGTTAAAATGATTAAAAAATATATTTTAGTCATACAGGAAAAATAAATATTTATAGATTTACGTAGAAACTTTGGGTAATTTGCAGTTTAAGCCTCGCATACCAATCGTAATTTAAATTTCCATTTGGGTATAAATTTACATGTTTATTTTGAAAACAAGAGTAAAAGTTTGCAGAAATCTACCACTTTGGAATTATCGACAATAAAAGTTAGGATTAATTTGCGTCAGGTCTGCCTGCCATTACTGGCACTGTTTACATACATTTGCCTCAAGTAGTCATGTGTGGAAGCTTACTTAGTTAACAGCCTTTTACTGATCTTCCTCTTCTTACTCATCTCAATTATTATATATATATATATATATATATATATATATATATATATAAATATATATATAAAAAACATAAAAAAAAAAGTTACCTCATTTGAATAGCTATTTCAATCCACAAGAGACTTCCTTGTGGGCCTTATCAACAGGGATATGAACTTGACAAGGCCCTCAAGGAAATCTTGTGGGTCAAAATAGCTATTCAAATGAGGTAACTTTGGATTTTTATTCTATGTAATTTATATTCTTATATAATAAATCCACTGAGTTCTCTTTGTGGATCAGTTTTAATATTTCATATTATTAGGATTCACTTAGATTATTTACCAATGGATTATTTATTTATATTTTTATATATATATATATATATATATATATATATATATATATGTGGTGGAGTAATGGATAGTGGCTTGGATTGAGGAATCTGAGAGCCGAGTTCGAATTCCAGTCAAATCCATTACATTCACTTACATGCTAACCTCCAGCTATGGGTAAATAGCAGGACAGACTGGGTTCTATAGCCTTGGATGGCAACTGGTCTAGAAGGACAACTCTGAATTCAAAACCTGCAGAGGATCATTTGGGAACCTTGTGGCACGTAGTGCACCAGGTCTCTGTATTCGGCCCTTCAAAAAGTGTGGATGGTCCTGCACGAAACCTTCACCACTATAAACAAATCTCATGTGCTGTTGCTGGGCTGTCAGTTTCCTTGGAACTGATCTGTTTGACCCTCATACGTCGAATTCGATGGGAGAGTCAAGTATATATATATATATATATATATATATATATATATATATATATATATATATATATATATATATATATATATATACACACACAGTGAAATAATGGATAGTAGCTAGAGTTTGATGAATCAGAGAAGTGAGTCTGAATTCAATTCAAGTTTGCTATATTAACTTATATGCAAATAATCTTTAGAAAGGTATAAATCCATCTCTACACACATCCAACTCCTATGAGCAAATTCCAGGACAGATAGTGTTCTAAAGTATTGAGTGAAAGACAACTCTGAATTCAAAACCTGTGGAGGATTGTTTTGAGACCATGTAGCGCACACGATATGAACCAGTTTCCATATTTGGCTCTTCCCAAAATGGTGGTTGGTTCTGCACAAGCCTTCACCACTAGAATCAAATCATATGTGTGAATAGTCTTGCTGTTTCATTTTAAGAATTGAGTTGCTGCAGCCTCATACATTAAAAGCAACAAAAGAGTCATTATTTTAAAGGAAGTTTTAAATTCCAAGTGTTTCTGTAGATTCAAAATCTTTTATAGTAAAATATGCCTAAATACATTCAAAATTAGTTTAATTTATTAGAATTTCTTTTTACTTATAGCAAGAGGACAAGGCAGAAGATCAATCGTTAATCTTAATTTATTCTTTCAGTTTAATATTCAAAAACTATTGAACACAAAAGAAAATTAACTTTTTGATATTTTATAAGTACAATACAATTCCAAAATTACTTTAAAACACCAAGTAAAACTAGTACATTAAGAAAAAGTTTTCATCTAAAATGTTTTAGAAGTAATGGCTATTATTCAATAAAAACTATTGCTTGGTTGGATTATGTGAGTTTTAGCTCAGAAAAGACAAATGGCTCCTTGTGTAGTCTTTGAAATGCTGTTTGTAGTGTGAAAGGTTAAATACTGTCAAAAACAAAAGACAGCTGAGGTCTTGCATCAGATATCACATTGATAATCATATAACTGAACATTCATCTTAATTTTTTTTACTGACATATAAAGTGGAATTGGTAAGCTAAGTTCAAATTCTAGCTTAACTTATTGCTCTCACTCTCACAGTAATGCTCTTTGGAAAGACAGGAAATCATTTCTTCTTCCTCTAACTACAGATTAAATAGCAATGTAGATTAGGCTCTCTAGCCTTGGCTGGTATCTAGGAGAAGGACTACTCTGAAAGTGTAGAGAAGCTAATGAGAAACCACTCCTAACTACAGATTAAATAGCAAGGTAGATTAGGCTCTCTATCTCTGGCTATAGTGTCTAGTCTAGAAGGACTACTACTCTGAATTTGAAATTGTGTAAAACGTAATGAGATTCAATTATATTTCTCCAAGACATTAGCAATTCACGGATAGAAAAGAAAAAGTATCTGTGGAGAGCCATGATTAACTACACCATGAAGGGTCATGTCATTTAAAAAAAAATGCAATTACACAATATAAGACTGGAAATCTGAGATTTGAACTTGTTTTTACCCTGCCTCATCTGTTTTTATAAACAAGAAACTAAAAAACTTTGCAGAAAACAAATTCTCAAGCCAAAAGGGAAACATTTTGAGTTTCACCAAGAAATGATCTTTTATTTTGGAGATTTCCTATTGATGTAATGGTACAACCAGTCACCCCCCATGAATGATTACACTATAGGTAGTAAGTACCTATAAAGTCAACTGTCAATGAGAGACTTGAGAAAGAATGAGAGAGAGAAGACGCAAACATGTCTGACCTTCCAATTAGTGGCACTCACTACTAGATTGACCTGTGTGTATAACTGTACCGTATTTCATATTGTACTGGTTGTGTACAATAAACCTTTCTTCTATTATCCACTTGGTCTTAAGTATTCATTTCCTTAGCTTGGAATATGACACCTATTAATTATTATTGCAGATTGAAAGCCAAATTTGTAACAAAAAGCAACTAAAAAGATTGAAGATGAAAGTAAATATTAGTCAAAGGTTAATAATAATAATGGTTGACAATGATTCACCCAATAAATAATTGAAGATGAAAGTAAATATTAGTCAAAAATTAATAAATAATTTGGTTGACAACATATATAATTGGAAACAAAGATTATAATTAAGAGTGAAATAATGAGTTTGAAATATTTTACTGAATGAGTTGTTCATTTAAATCAGGTAAGAAGAGTTAAACGAATGCATCAAACCATGAATGTTGAGAAATTGTTTGCAGAAATGAATGTCATGTTTGTGTTACAAATGTGCAGATATTAATTAAGAGAAAAATATTTAATTAACTGACCTTTTCTGGTTGTTCTGAAAATTGTGGATGGTGGATCACAGATCTAAAATGAGAGCCAATTCCTATTCCTGCCTTGTCTCCTAATTCTGGGAAACCTTCTTCTGCCCATTCCATCAACATTTTGGCAAAAGGAACAGCAGGAATCTGAAAGTTGAAGGAAAACAACAAAAATATTCACATCTATCTTATATCTCAAAATGTGTGTGTGTGTGATCGGATGTTGTTTATGTGTTTCCACAGTTTTCATCCAATTTCATCCAATTGAACTTTTTTTGTTTGATAGATAATTCTTCAGTGCCGGTTTTGAGTCCAATTTGTTGGCAACAATGTCTCTCCACTACTCCCTGTCCATTATAATTCTGTGGGGAAAATTGTGAAAATAGTGTACCTCGGAAACGCGTGCGCATCTGTGCAGTGTGCAAACTCCGGTCCTCCCAACGGTAAAAAGGAACCAAAATGGCGGCGCCCATATTTTATGCAGGCGGTCTCGGTTAGTTAACATAAAAATCTCGATGTCTCATCATTCGCATGCAAATCGTGGTCGGTCCTCGGCTGTATAAAGCAGGCTCGTTTTGCTGTTTGGGATCAGAGAGCTTTTCGGCTCGTGAGAAGGTTGGACGTGCGACACGGTTTCTTTGTTCCTACCTGCTATCATCAGTTGAGTTGTTGCGTTACCTGCCACAAATTCTTAGCAATGTTTTACTATTTACTATCTGTTCTTGGATATATATCTTTCATAAAAACATTAATAAAAATAAAGGCTTTAAATTATTACAATAATATTATCTATATATCTATAATTCTCAATGTGTGTGTGTATGTGTGTGATCAGATGTTGTTTATATGTTGCCACAGTTTTCATCCAATTTCAAAGAGATAGATAATTCTTCAGTGCCAGTTTTGAGTCCAAATTACACATTCCCCTTCTCTTGGCCAAGCTTTCAATCTCTCTCAGGTGAGGTTACCTTTTTCGTTGCATAAAGCCTACTACTACAGTTTCAAGGCATTGCTTTCATTGTCATTTATAGGCATTCCCAATTTAAATTTTTTTTATTGTCCTGCCATTTTTTGCATTGCATTCATCGTAGTAATAAGTAAGCTTGCTTTTTTATTACTCAACATTTATTTTTCCAACCTTTCCTAAAGTTATTTAAACTTAGTGATCCCTGTAGCTTTATAGCATTCTATTCTGGTATTTGCCCACACATTCTATTTAACAATTCATACTTGCCTAAAACATGGCACAAAAGAAAAGAACTTGCCTAGGTCGCAAAACTGTTGCTGCCAGGTTCACCATGTGAATAAGAGATAAGGAATCATCTTTAGAACATTCAGTTTGCCTGTCTCAAAATTCCTCTTGGAATGCTTCAATCAGAGCCACTGAGTCCGAAAATCAAGGTAGCCATCAGCTTTCCAGAAGAGCATACCAGAACGCTTCTGCATGCAAGGCTGAAAATGATGATCAAACTGTTAGCCCCCTCCATTTGGGGATGTGCCTCAGTTGCACCCAATTATTGTTACTAATATTGATTTTCAAGTGGGCTAACTTTAAACTTAAACTGCTCCAATTAAACAGTAAAAATTCTCAGTAATGAAAGCCCCAGTCAAAGACAGGTTATACTGCTAGTATCCAATCTATTTAACATGTTTCCGACAACACATTCTGCATCTCATATCAAGTGTAAACATTTGATGAAGGTTGAAGAATTGATCGGCCAAAAGAAAGTCTTAACAATAGTAAATATATAGAGAGGAGATAGAAGAATCCAAACAATGTTCGATACGCGTTGATATCTCTTCTTAAAATCACAGATAATGAATAACTGTTTGTCATAACAGACAATAAATACAACATGATCAGTTGAATGAGAATCATCCCCTTCAACCTATAAACAAAATAAATGGTTCAGTTGAAAATTCCCTAAAGGTTACTCAGATTGGCAAGCACCTGATGAAGGCTGGAGTGTACAACAGTTGAAATGTTGTTATAACATCAAAAATGAGGACAACAGTCTGCATGTAAATAATACATCAGTCTTTTTACTGAATTTGAAAAAGAATATACATTTCTGTCTCCTCCTCATTATGTCATTGTGCATTTGGTGAACTAAGAACCAAAATTACTGCAGATGGTCAACAACTTCCACTAAGAGATAAATTCATTATTGTAAGCAGTTTTATTTTCACCAAGTACTCCACTACTGTGGCCTTGTACCCAGATGGAGTTAAATAAGTAGCATCTATAGCTAAGGCCCATCGTTCTAGTCCATGTCATTTGGTGGGTGCAAAAGGGGCGAACAAAACAGAAAACGTTTTCCACAGCGTAATCAGTCTCTAGTTTTTTATTAAAAAAGGAAAAAAAATGTAATTTTACTTACAGATCGCGACATCTATCAGAAAGATGAAATTTAAATTTTTTATTATTGCATTATTACAAAATTTCAACACAGCATCAGATAGCTACTAAATATGTAAAATAAATGCGTATATTGTAGAAAATTCCTTTTTTTTTCCACAATATAGCTACTTCTGCTATGTTATAATCCTTATTTTATTACCTAAACTATAATAATATTGAACACATTTATTTAAACATTAAAGTATATTTAATCACATTTCCCTAATAGCTGTCGCGATCTGTTAAAATTTGGGTTCAGGGGACATAACTCTGCTTTTTAATGAGGCATAATTGTATGAGCCAATTGAAAATTACATTACAACCATATCAATAATTACTGTGAATTCATGATTGGACGTTTTAATGTCCATTTAACACAAATTAAAAAAATAAAATAAAGAAGCTTACCTCACCCATATTGGCTACTATACACCGAATAAGGACAATCAACATGTCTGTATCATCTGTCCAGTCTCCAACCTCCCACTGTTGCCTATGTCGGTCAGTTACCATCCGTTTGCAAATTAATTCAAGTTCTTTTTCAATGCAGCCATAGTTCTGAAAATTTTTGAAAAGTAGTGCAACACTAATACAAGAATTATTTCGATAACAAATGAAATAAAACAATGTCAAAGAATAATGATATTTCATCTCAGAATTTCAGGCAACCATTCTAAAAAAAAAACATAATGATAAAAGTTTTCAACAAATAATTCAGGCTGATTTTATTAAAGCTCTGTGTTTGACCCTGCAGCTCGACAAGAGAAGAATTCTTCCAGGGTAGTTGGAGTTTATACTTTCATAATTAAAACAAAGTTTTATTGTTATCTTCCTTGATACTCTTATTATCTATTCTTGGAGAGGAGATGGGCATCACCTGTGACAAAAGACATGACTTACCTCAGAATTCGAAACAAGCGCAAACGTGTATTGTCTGCAAAGTGATGACAAAAAGAAATATGGCCGCTATTGAAGACACAATATATGTGTACATATCTCATCCAAAACGAGACGATATTTGCACACATGCAAATTTTGGCTGTCTTGGAGTAGCATAAAAAGCAGGGTGCCAGCAGCACCAAGTGTCAGGGAGTCATTCAGCAGACGGCGTTTAATAGAGTTGAACAGATGGACAAAGAGGAAGTCGAAGTAGGCATGACTGAGTTGGTGTCTGTTTCACAACTGCCCAGTGTAACGGCTGAGAAAGGGAGTCATGCAATCCATTTCCTTGAGGCGACCGAAGAAAAAGAAGAAGGAAAAAAAAACCATCATCATTTTTTTTTTCTCCTACATCACCCAACACCGATCCTTTGCTCTTTGAGATGCTATAACAGGAGGAATTGATGCCTTGCAAAGCAATGAACATCATCAATAAACCTCTGGTGGACAGAAACAGGATACTTTTTCCCCACTGCTGTACATCAAGCTTGGCTTGATCAAGCAGTTCACCAAAGCTCTGAACAAGGATTGTGGCTGCTTCATTTACTTGTGCCAGGATTGACAATGGAGTAGTTGAAAGCTGGCCTCGAATCCATCAGCTCATCAGAAATCCAGAGTTTGAAAACTCAAAGAAGTGGAACTGGAAGCATGGAAGGCTTTTATTCTGGTTGTGAAAAACTTTCTTGGCAACAACAAGTCCAGGAACTCCACAGAACTTGTCATCAATATGCTGACTGCTTTCAGAAACCTTTATATTGACTATTGTTAAAATGTCATATTTTAGTCTTATGTGCCACTATGACATGAGCATCAAAATGCATTATTTATTCTCACATATGGATCAGTTTCTTGAGAATCTGGGATCAATGAGCAACAAAGTGTGTGTGGGGGGGGGAGATTTTTTTGTGGTAGTAAAACAATGCATTGTTTTATTTCTTTTGTTTAGATAGTAGAAGTTTTATTAAGCAAAATAGACCGAGAATGAAAAGTATAACATTTATTTCAGTTTTTAAAAGTGAAATTAATTTATCGGACTTTTAATTCTTAGTCTACTACTTTGCTAATAATAACTTCAATTACGTAAAACAAAATAATTTAAAAAGACATTGCATTTTTTTTTTACATTTTTAAAAGAAAAATGAACCGTGTTTCTGTTAACATGGCATTTATGACTCCTCACTTGTTAGAATTGAAATAAATATTAAAAAACTGATAAATTATGAATTAAAAGTACAATGTGTTTTTTCTTTTTTTGTTTTTCTTTTTAAATAAAACAGTGTATATAAACAAAAACAAGTTATTTTTCTTTTAATATTGTAAAAATTTTTTAAGGTTTTCCCAATTTAGAAAAAAAAGAAGTAACATCTTGGTTTTTTTTTTTTTTTTTATATATCCCCAGTTTTATTTAAAAAAAAAAAATAAACACACACAATTGTACTTTTATTTCATAATTTATCAGTGAGGAGTTATAAATACCACGTTAATAGAAACACGGGAAAAAAAAACCTGGCAACATACAGGCATTAGATTCTGAGAAATGGATAAAAATATTAAAAATTGATGGGTGTACAAATAATTTCATTGTTGAGTGTATATATATATATATATATATATATATATATATGATGGACTCTCCGTCGATTTCGACGTATGAGGTTCCGACAACTTTTTAATGACCTTTACCTTTGAATCTGGAGTGACATTTCAGACCTGCTAATAACCTGCAAAGAAAACCACAGATTGGGCAAGCATGTGAGCAAAGAGGGTGCACTTCTCTGGCACCCTCTGAGGCTTTTTTCCTTTCTCTTGCTTCATGGAGCTTGGCAACGCTTGCTGCCAAAAAATTCCTGATTCCAGTGTAAGTTACACTTTTCCAAGCTTTGCGATCCAAGGCAGTATTCTCCAAATCAGTGTGTGCAATATTTGTAGCTGCAAGGTTACTTTTCAGCTTATCTTTAAACCTGAGCAAGGGTCGGCCAACATTCCGTTGACCACCTTCAAGCTGGCTGTACATGAGAATCTTTGGAATTCTACCATCTTGCATCCGTACAACATGACCAGCCCATCGTAACTGTGCCCTCATGAGGAAGCTCTCAATTCCGTCAATGTTACACATCATTAGAAGGTCGGCATTGGATTTTTTGTCCTGCAGGGTTAGTCCACAGATTGCTCGGTGACATTCTTTGTGAAAGACATCTAATTGCTGAATCTGCTTACAATACAGGGTCCAGGCCTCTGATCCATACAAAAGAGTAGTGAGGACAACTGCTTTGTACACGTGGATTACACTGGGTAAGATGAAGCCCTCAGCCTTTGTTAAGGCATTCATCTAGGAGAAGGAAAACTCTGATGTAACACCTGAGGTCTGTTGTTCACGCTATCTGTGGCAAACTTTTGCACTGACTGCGTGCTATCAACAGTTCCAAAAAGTGTGGAGATATATATATTAGTTTATGAAAAACTAGGTAATCCGTATGGGTAAACCTAAGGAGGATAAAATCCAGAGAGCTCAATGTAAATCCAGAGCAAATAATTTAAATAAAAACAGACCACTTTAAGGTTCCATGTAATAAATTATTTAAAATGGTGAAATAATTTATTATATGGAACCTCAAAGTGGTCTGTTTTATATATATATATATATATATATATATATATATATATATATATATATATATATATATATATATATAAACTTTTAATGTGCATTGTAATATTGTATTCCTTGTGAGGAGGGGTGACAAAATTGAAGGGTGCTCCAGGCGGCAAAAACACTAGCTACGCCACTAACTTATCATCCCTTTGTGGGTTATTTAATCCAGAAAATATTTTTTTACATTGCAAGATTTTTTTTTGAGATAATGATTTAGTGATACATTCTTACTAATTAACCCATAACTGGAGGGATAGAAGAGGTGAATTCATACTTTTCCCAAGGGTATTTGCATGCAAGTGAATATGACAAACCTAACTGAAATTGAACTTGGCCTCCAATTAACAATTTAAAGCTATTATCCATTATGCCACCAATACAGCCAAGATTATAGCACATGGAATTCTCAAGCAGTCACCCATCTAGGTATTGAAAAGACTTGACATTGCTTAACTTCAGTGATTGTAGGGGAAGCGTTGTTTCAATATGATTTGGCCATAAGCTACTGCAAAACTAAGTTCATGTGCTACACACCAGTCTCATGTGCATTACCTGCGGACAACATTTGCCATTCAAGGCTCAGATTATCAAATCGTTGGAGACGTTGCTCTCAGTGAAGCTGATTCCAACTAATCAGGGTGCTATTATTATTTTACAAGCTAGACAACTGCCTATATACATATATATATATATATATATATATATATATATATATGTATATATATATGTATGTATGTATGTATATATATTTGTATATGGGTGTATATGTACGTAGATATATGTGTATATATAGTTAGACGGATAGATATAGGGATACATTGTCTATTTGTTTAAATGGGTGTATATAATTGTATAGAAATGTAAGGTTTTAGGTATATATGTTTATGTGCACGTATGCGTATGTCCGTATGTAAAGGACTGGATGCGGATGTATGTATGTGTGTGTATGTATTTTTTGTATATTTTTATATATTTGGTTTATATATATATATATATATATATATATATATGTATGTATGTCTGTATCTGTATATGTGTGTATATGTATATATATGTGTATATATATATATATATATATATATATATATATATATATATATATATATATATGTGTGTGTGTGTGTGTGTGTATGTATGTATATATAGATATACATGTGTGCATGTGTATGCATGTATATGTATGTGAAAAGTGTGTGTATATGGATATAGATGAATATGTGTGTGTGTGGATATGTGAATATATTTTTATATTTTTTATATGTGTGTACATGGGTATATGTATGTGTGTATGTGGGTACACGCCTATGTGTATATATACATGTATATGTTATTGTGTGTATTCGCATGTGTTTTTTGAACATAAAAATATAGGTCCTTGCTGGATTAGATAATCGTTATATTTATCTTTATATATTTATATTTGATTTGTAACCTGTAGTCGATATTAAATTTGTCAAATTTTCTCAATTACAAAGCGGTCCTTTAAGTAAACACAATTTTACTTTCCTTCGTCCCATCTCTCTCCCCTACCTCGTCTTTCCCTCCCTCTTATTCTAACATTAGATTGTCTATGGTGTGTGTATGTCACCACGAAATGTATCTTTATGCATTAGACTTCCGACAACATTCATTTTTCTCTTACTTAAACTCCTGCCACCCATCTCTCCTAAAATTCTCTCTGTTAAGGTTTAATCTCCCTCCTCCTCATACTTACACTCTCTCTAAATTCTGTTTTTATTTCCGGAGTTGTTTTTTCTGTTTTCTTTTTGAATTTGTAGGTCTGATGAATCGGATCGTATTTATGATTCCAATGGAATAAATTATGACCATGGAATATTAGTGTTTAAGCCTTCTTTATTATATCCTTACTCTCTCCTGGACATTGAGTTCTACCTAGATTCTTCCTCTTGGAATTTTTATTCTAAAAATATAAACGTATGGGTATTTATATATTTTGCATATGTATGTATATTTTCCACTAATATTATCTATATATATATATATATATATATATATATATATATATATAGTTGGTTGATTTTGTTTAGTGGCATATCAACACCTCTATGGGTTATTTAATGCCAAAATGTAAATATTTTGAACACAATTTTATGGTTTCAACTAAATATATTTTGAATGCAATTGTATGTCTTCAATTACAGATAAAATGTATTTTTGGTCACTTTTACTATAAATAGGTAGTTGCTAATTTTTTTAATGTAAAAATGTATTGCTGGTATTTTTATAGTTCCATAGTGTTTTGTTTGGGGATAAACTATTTGCCTATAGCTGAGACCCTAACAGGTGCTACCACCGTGAGTCAGGGTGGACCTGGGAACAACAGCAATTAAGCTGTGGTTCCATGTTTCTCAAAACCTCCAATCTCTCGACCAGAGTCCTTGCTACCAGATGAAGTTTATCATTGTACCTATATATATATATATATATATATATATATATATATATATATATATATATATTAAGACATTTTTCTGTTTATAGATTCTTTTTATAGATACAAATATTTAAGTAAATGCTCTGTTTATAATCTGTGGCCAAATCGGTAAAGGCACGTCAAGCTAAATGATGGTTCGTATAGGATACAGGTTCGAATCCTATCGGAGGACAAATATTTTCTATCAAAATTTCTCAGACATTCAGCCCGGTAAATGTTGTTTAATACTGTTTATTATAAGCAGGGCATTTACTTAAATATTTGTATCTATAAAAAGAATGTATAAACATAAAAATGTCTTAAAATAATTGTCGGACTTTGTCCATTTCATATATATATATATATATATATATATATATATAATATTCACTTTTATCAGGTCTCAATATTTTATCTGAAAATCTGAAAATTTTCAACAACTAAAAAAAAAAAAAAAAATTTACCTTTTTAGCTTCTGATTTTGTAAATGACTCTGTGAGAAGACCAAGTGCATCTCCAATTGCTTGACCATAAATTGTGCCATACACACATTTATATACACGGGTGATCTCTTTTTTAGGAAGCTGGAAAAACAATTTCAAATGAAATAAGTTAGTTATACATTATGAGGAAGGAGGGCTTAGAAAATCTAACACTCAGAAGACATACTGAAAGCAAGAAAGGCAGAAGGAAAGCCATAATTAAAAGATTGACTGATTTTCTCTGTTTAACAACATATCAACTACTGATAGGTCAATTAATGCTGAAATTTAATTTTCATGGGAACTTTGAAGTAATAAAAATATGATATATGTTATTCTGCTTTCACAATTGAATACATGGTAGATGATACTCAGCTTTTGTGCATATACATCTTTGTGTGGACATAATTACTAGATGTGATGATATGTGTTTTATGTTGTAGTTTTGTTGAAGTCATATTTTGGAATACAGTTTGATTTAAGAAATTGTCAGATGTTATATAGATTAATGTCATGAAAGTGTTCTTTCATGTTGGTTGGCTGGTTGGTTGATTTGTTTAGTGGCATATCAACACCTCTATGGGTTATTTAATAAGTTGAACACAATTTTATGGCTACAACTAAATATATTTTGAATACAATCATATGCCTTCAACTATAGATAAAATGTATTGTTGGTCATTTTGCAATAAAATGTATTGTTGGTAATTCTACTAGATTACTATATCACTATATACTACTATAAAATATATTGTTGGTCATTTTGCTTTAAAAATGTATTGTTGCTATTTTTTTTTTTTTTTTTTACATGAAAATGTATTGCTCATATTTTTACTATAAAATCTGTATTTTTAAAGTTTCATAGGGTTTTTTTAGGGGGGTCACTACTTCTCCATAGCCGAGACCCTAACAGGTGCTACCACCCAGGGTCAGTGTGGACTTAGGAACAACAGAAATTAAAAAGTTGGTTCCACACTTCTCATAATCTCCAATCTCTCAATCAGAGACCTTGCTGCCAGATGTAGCTTATCATCATATCCAGGACTTGTAGGTAAAAGAAAAATAAGAAAAGGTGTGAATTGTGTGAATGGTTTGCAGAAGAGGGACAAAAATGGATGGTAAAAGGGTTAGGATAATATTAGCCGTTTCCTTATAAGGAAACATTTGGTATTCATTAACTAGCAGCCAGTACTACTTTTGGTTGAAATTTATAAAATCTTTCTCTTAAAACAATTTTTTTAAGAAAACAGGTTTCTCAAGTCCAGTAGCTGTTATCACTCTTTCCAGTATTGATGGGAGTTTCCTTCCTAACCTTTTCTTTGAAGTAGTGTGGAATGTCAACATCTTGATTATGTCATTATTTTCTCTTCTCAAGCCCAGTAGCTGTTATCACTTTTTCCAGTATTGATGGGGAGTTTCCTTCCTAACCTTTTTATTTGAAGTAGTGTGGAATGTCAACATCTTGATTATGTCATTATTTTCTCTTCTCAAGCCCAGTAGCTGTTATCACTCTTTCCAGTATTGATGGGAGTTTCCTTCCTAACCTTTTATTTGAAGTAGTGTGGAATGTCAACATCTAGATTATGTCATTATTTTCTCTTCTCAAGCCCAGTAGCTGTTATCACTCTTTCCAGTATTGTTGCAGGTTTCCTTCCTAACCTTTTATTTGAAGTAGTGTGTAAAGTCAACATGTTGATTATGTAATAATTTTCTTGAAAAGTTATTGAGAGCAACAATAGGAAGCTGTGGAGAAACATGAATGTCAACACCCTGAAAGGACATGGCAGAAAGGGCAACTTTGAAAGTCATGGTGTGCATTTTCAAGAAGCTTGGGAGCTACTTAAGTAGACTGGTTCCCTCATAAAAAAAATAGGCAAGTAAAAATTGTTTTGGAAATATTTTTTGTAGATTAGTATTCTTTTGACCTACTTTAAGCCATGACATTTATCAGAATCAAAAGTATTTTAGATCTTTTAGTATTTTAGAGGGGGGGTCTCTTTGTAATATTGATGCAGTGCCAAATCGATCTATGACTTAGAGTAATTGAAATGTAGTTGTTTGTTTATAAATGTCAAGTTTAGAACTGATTGCTTCATGGATATCTGTATGTAAAACTTTTTTCTTTTATTTAACAAAAAGATTTTTTAAATAAAGAACAAATGAATATATACATTTTTGTTTTAATTTAAGAAAATATTTTAAACAAGTAAATAAACCTTAGTCAATTTTTTTTTACAAAACCATTTTTTGTCATTAAAGAACAAAGATTGAAACATTTTTAAAATTGTGCCACATTTTTAATTAACCTTTAGCACTCTTTACGTAACTATTTCCACCAAGCAAATTGTTAGTCCTGCCAATGCAAGTTGAATTTGAATTTTTTGGTTGTGTAGTCAGATCCTTCTATGGAGACACTTAAAACAATCTTGACTGAAATTGAGATACAATTTCAAATATATAGAACTAATATATAAAACTATATTTTGTGGGGATTCCATAAGCAGTAAAAGGGGAAATAATATTTATAAATGATGCAGAATGCTAAATGTTAAAGAACAAAAATTTACATTATTACATTTTCAAGGCACAACATTTATAAATTAAAAATAATAGATAAGTGCATATAATTCTGTAAAAGTCAGGGATTGATTTGACACAGTTTCAATATTATAAACAGGATTGATTGATGTGTTTAACGGCATATCAACTCTTTATGTGTCATTTAATGCTGAAATTTAATTTTCTTGGGAGCTTTGATGTAATAAAAATACAATGTTATTCTGCTTTCACAATTGAATACATGGTAGATGATACTCAGCTTTTGTACATATACATGTTTGTGTGGACATAATTACTAGAGGAAGTGATATGTGTGTTTTATGTTGTAGTTATGTTGAAGTTATATTTTTGGAATACAGTTTGATGTAAGAAATTGTTGGATATCTTATGGATTAATGCCATGGAGGAGTTCTTTCATGTTAGTTGTTTGGTGGGTTGATTGATTTTGTTTAGCAGCAGATCAAAGTCTTGCTTTTTAATGAAACATTAATAATGAGTATTGGTTGGAAATGTCCAAAGTAACATACACTCGACACCAGCCACCCACTAAAATCTGTACTTGACATCATTTTTTTTTTTTATTCTTTTTTATTTACGCCCTTCCCCACCAATTATTTTGGGAAAAACGTTTCATTTTCTGACAAAGCTTTTTATTTGGTTTTAATGTAGTAACTAAGAAACTGAGGGAATTTGAAGTACCCAAGCAGTGGCTAACACCTCTACCGCATGTATGAGTTGAAAGAAGTAAATAGGCCAAAATTTATGCTTACGCCAACGGAAGTACTTCACACCGAGTTAGTTAACATTATGGCAGTAATGGTAGACAAATGACCAACAAGAAGTCTGATTTTTTTCTTGCTAATAACTCCAAAATGGTAGGTTTCTTCATAATTTAATTGTTAATTCGAGTTCAGCATATACATTTACACAGAATTATGATCATTTGGAAAAATTTTGAGAGATATTTAGCGCGGCCATTAAAAAGCAAATTTACCATTGGACTAGTATCAAGCTCAGAAGAGTACAGAAAGAATCAAGATTGATGTATAAACACACCTGTAGCTAGTTTTTGAACATTATCTTTTGGACATTATGTTTATTCATCTGTGTCTGAAATAGACACTTTCGGTAAAAACATATACATGCATCTATGCTGGGGAAGGGGTTAGATAATCCATGGAGTGAGGTGGTGGGTAGAAATTTTTATTACACCTTTAAAAATAAAAAAAAAAAAAAAATTCCATATTTTAAGATAGCCATGGGCCACATGTGACCCGTCTGGCTTTCCAAACAGCTTACCCAATTTCATAAAGAAAATAATGTTTATTAAAATGTTTGTTTCCTTTCATTCTCACTTGATCACCCACACATTCTCTCATACATAAGCACATACATAAACAATGTTTCTGGAATTTTAAACCATTGACAATTTTTACTAAGGAAGACAATACATCTTTTTCTTCAGAACCAGGAAATGTCAATGATAATTATTTTTCTCTAGAGAATATACTTCTTTCAGAAATATTTTTGTCTAATCAAATAAATAAATTAGAAACAAATGATATGCAGCAATATGTGTTAATCACTCCGTCATCAGTAATAATATTATATCAAGACTTCAGGGTTGTTGTTTTAATAACAGAAGAAATCTTTACTCCAAAGGAAAAAAAAAAAAAAATCATCTTTTCAACCTTTCTAAAGCAGATGATGATGTGCATGGCCTTTTTGTTGGGAAAATTGCTGTGGTATCTTTAATGAAAAATTACCAGGATTTTTTAATTTTTTTTAGTAGTTCAGCCCATTTTATGCTGCCCGCTGTTCAAAATGGTTTCCCCATGATGGTTTTAAAAGTATATATGAATTAAATGCAAACAATTCTTGTAAAAATTCATTGAAAAATTTTTTTTCTTCAGACAATAATATCCTTAATGTATATTATTTATAAAAGCCTATCTAATTAGATAATTAGATGCGTTTATTGCAGTTATTATTTTACGATTTGGAGCAGATTTTTAAAAAGTTGGTGATAGTTGAGGAAAAAAAAATCAATGATTTATATTCTCCAAGTAGCCCTGGTTATAAGTAATATAAAACAATTACTAAACGATTTGAAATTCTAGAAAATTTCATGAAATTAAGTTACTTTGGTACAGATATAAAAAAAAATATGTATTTTTTTACCAAGATTTTCTAAAAATAAAAATTTTAAAAATAAATTCATTCATTTTTGAATAAGTCCTGATAGTTTCATTAAAATCCGACAATTATTTGATTTTTGCAAGAATTTTCAAATTAATAATGTAGCATTTTACCAGAAACGGCTGCACAAAATGTCCATTACTAAAAGTCTTACACAGTTGACAAAAAAAAAAAGAAAAGAAAAGATTTTTGACTCAAATTTAGAACGTGTTAGAAAGGAGAAACAAATTTTTAAAATAATTTAAAAAAATACTTTTTTCTTTCCACTTAATAATAACATTTTGACAATAAAACTTTGTTTTTATTAAGTTTGGGTCATTTTATCATCAAGCTGGGGTTTTTTTTTGGTTTTTTTTTAGCGAATTTAGAGGTATATAAATATATACAAAAATATAAAAAACAAAAGGGGGAGAAAGTGTAAGGATTAAAAAGGAAATACAGTTACAACAATAACAACAGAAAATTAGGCAAGTTGTTCAAGGATTTACTGAGGGTGAAAGAAACAGAGAAAAAATAATAACAGGAGGCAGATGATGATGATTGACATTACATTTAAATTTCTGAAGATCATAGCTGACAGGTAAAGCAAAAGCTGAAAAAGATTTCCACAAGCAAGAAGTGTGTGAGAGAAGAAAATATTAGCACTGAACTTAGGTTGCATCTAGCAATTTCAATTGAAATTATGAGACCTTGCAGACAGTCTCATCATCACATTGCCACATAGTTTCCATCAGTTTAGCTTGCAACAGTTTTGAGCCAAGATTAACATTGCCCAGGTCCAACAACCAACATATTCTCCTTGTGGCTTTTTCCTCTTTTCAAAAATTAAATCCCTTTTGAAAGGAACAAGATTTCAAGACGCTGAAGAAATCCAAGAAAATCCCATGAGGCAGCTACTACTCACTATCCCAAAAAAGGAGTTTTCTAAGAATGCTTCCATCAATGGAAAGAACACTGGATAAAGTTTCTGCGGCTTCAGAAGGGAACTGATAACATTTCAATCTAAAAGCATAAAAGGACGTTTGAACTTTTTTAAAGTACCTCTTTTTTTTTACTCCATTTATTTGTATCTTTTAATCTTATTTATATAAATATTTTGTTCATTGTTGTGCAAAAAAAAAATTGTTGTTTCTCATTTTTGTTCTTATTCTATGTTTGTTTAATACTGAAATTTTTTTGTGAGAGGAAATTGTTAACTTCAACACGCAGCCTTTACTCAACAATTATTGATCCATCAATTAACAAACACAACCTCCACCTAACTACTTCGAAGGAGATTAGATGTCGAATTGATATGTGTTGTAGGTTTCTTTTTATAGCACCAGTCCTGATATATTTTGATCGGATCTCTTATGTATGGAAGTCAATTGTGTCATTAAATTCAGAATAAGTTTAAAGACAGGATAAAAAATTCTGGGAGGAAACTCGTAAGAATGAAGCATTGTGAAAAATTGTTTTTAAACCCGATAGAAATATAAAAATAATTTTTAAAAGTGAACAAACAGAAAGAAATATTAAATAAAATAATAAATTTCTTTTTTTTTTTTTAGAAAAAGTTATGTCAATCAATTTGAAACGAAAAAGCAGTTTATTAATTTTCCATTCATCCATTATTTTTTTTAATTACTTTTAATTTTTAAAGTATAAACACTGACAAAAATATAAAAAGAAAAGTTTTAATTAAAAATAAAATGAAAAATAACCAATTTTTACAATGTTTATTTTTTAGTTTTTAAATTTTATATTTTGTATCCGTCGTCGTATAAATTGCAGAAACAAAATAAAATAATTTATTTCTATCCATTTTTATTTAAAATATCCAATATAATCGAACTTACCTTATCGATCATCAATTTTCTCTTTTTAGCATTAAATGATTGGCGACTTATAGTCCGAAGCGGACCTTGGACATTGAGTTTTCGTTTTAAATAACCGCCACTCGCCATTCTTGCCGTTGGGTTTCACTGCTGAACTTCAAACGTGACTTCTTTTTTTTTTCTCACCTGGGCCTTCATTCACTCAACAGGTGATAATTAGATTCTTTGATAAGAAGATCTTCTGAAATAAATAAATAAATAGATACTTTTTGATATACTATTTTTTTTTCTTGGCCGTGACTCCCAAAATACTAAGTTTGAAAAACTTTTTAATTAAATTCTGCAGGTTGTTGGTTGAATGATTCATGGGCAACTACTCTTCACATCTTTTGACAATCTGCACAAATATTCATTCGACTTGGGACCTTCGATGCGGTGTCGTAGTTAGCAAGGGGTACCACTCAAAAAATGGATATTGTTTTTTTTATTTTCTTTTATTTTATTAAAAATCTTTTGGGAAATATTTGTTGGTAGTATTTTTTCATATCCACTTTTCTATATCACGTGTTATACTTTCTAATTTGGAGTGAGGGGGGTCCAACGTTTTTTCACAATTAAAATTTCAGTCAAGAATTGATTCATTACGGAACATTCGGTCCGCATCTTGCCAAAAACAATTCAATAAAACTCAAAATATATATATATATTTTTATAATTAGTGCTTGGATAATTTAATAAAACACGTTTATTTTCTCTAAGATTCGACAAAAAAAAAAACTAAACTAGATATTTAATTTATTTCTTAAAAAAGGAGTTGTAATTTTTCAGTGCAATTTTTAAATTAATCCCGTTGCTTATACATCACAAGATTTTTTTTTTTTTATTAAATAAAGGCATGTTTAAAGATTTAAAAAAAATGTAAAGTTGAATGTAATTTTCGGGTGTGAACCTTTTTTAAAAGAATTTTATTTTATCTCTTCCTTTTAGCAACTGTTATTATTTTTGGTATAGATGTACTGTACAAAAAGGAAATATCTCGCGTTGATTTTATTAAAAAAATTAGCAACTACCTATTTATAGTAAAAGTGACCAAAAATACATTTTATCTGTAATTGAAGACATACAATTGCATTCAAAATATATTTAGTTGAAACCATAAAATTGTGTTCAAAATATTTACATTTTGGCATTAAATAACCCATAGAGGTGTTGATATGCCACTAAACAAAATCAACCAACAATATATATATATATATATATATATATTTATATATATATATATATATAGGCAGTTGTCTAGCTTGTAAAATAATAATAGCACCCTGATTAGTTGGAATCAGCTTCACTGAGAGCAACGTCTCCAATGATTTGATAATCTGAGCCTTGAATGGCAAATGTTGTCCGCAGGTAATGCACATGAGACTGGTGTGTAGCACATGAACTTAGTTTTGCAGTAGCTTATGGCCAAATCATGTTGAAACAATGCTTCCCCATACAATCACTGAAGTTAAGCAATGTCAAGTCTTTTCAATACCTAGATGGGTGACTGCTTGAGAATTCCATGTGCTATAATCTTGGCTGTATTGGTGGCATAATGGATAATAGCTTTGAATTGTTAATTGGAGGGCCAAGTTCAATTTCAGTTAGGTTTGTCATATTTACTTGCATGCAAATACCCTTGGGAAAAGTATGAATTCACCTCTTCTATCCCTCCAGTTATGGGTTAATTAGTAAGAATGTATCACTAAATCATTATCTCAAAAAAAAATCTTGCAATGTAAAAAAATATTTTCTGGATTAAATAACCCACAAAGGGATGATAAGTTAGTGGCGTAGCTAGTGTTTTTGCCGCCTGGAGCACCCTTCAATTTTGTCACCCCTCCTCACAAGGAATACAATATTACAATGCACATTTGCCCCTTAAAGTTTATATATATATATATATATATAAATTTAAATAAAAACAGACCACTTTGAGGTTCCATGTAATAAATTCATACTAGACTTCACCATTAATCTTAATATTGTAAGATTTTGGGAAACCTGAATCAACCCTATCAAAATGAAACACTGGGCCAAAACTGAGGATTGAAAAGAAAGTGAGATGACCCATAAGTTAGTGGAGATCACAACTGAAAAAGAGAGAAAGAAAAGTCAGTGCTTGAAGCTAGGGGAGTGTGGTGTATGAGTCAAAAGCATGATAGGTGTGTTGCTAGACTTGCCAACAATGGATGGGGGGGTGGGGTTACAACATAAAGAAAAATTCCTGAAGATGTTATTTCAGCATGAAAATAATGTATGCAATATCAACCATGAATATACTAAAAATTTGTCACAAACCTTATAAAAATAATTCAAAACTCAAAAACAAATTTTTGATGAGAGGTGGTGCTTGCTAAAAATATATTATTTTCTTTTAGATTTTAAGGAAGATATTAAAAATGTCTGGATACTTTCTGAATAGTTCATGCAATCATCAGATTTTTCCCTAATTTTCACACTGTCAATTATTAATTGCAGTCCACACACCTTCAGCATTTACCTATGGTTTTCTTGTTGAAGGCCTTCTAAAACGTGAATTATTTTTCATGTTTATTATTTGTTCATTCAAGTTATCTCAGACATTCATGAGTCTATGACACCAACCATTACGGTCCTGAATCAAGTTCAGAAGGTCGTTAGGGTGGCATTCTGTGCTATAAGATAGTTGGTCAATAATGTAGTTGATTGCTGGGTGAGCAGATCATCTTGTGCTATGGCTTGGTGTCCAGAACACTAGATTACTTGCGAGTTCTTGTTTTTGATCGCCATCAGTGTCCTTCAAAGTGCATCTTGGGTTCGCGTAAGATTGTAGAAATATCGTGAATGGGTCTATACAGTGGTGAGCTGGTTGGATGTTGTCTTCAGGAGATGTTAAATATAGCTCTCAGCATCTGAGTGAAGATTCCATTAAGCTTACTCATTAAATGAGCACAGCCACTCTTATCTGAGGATGCCAATCTACTAGGGTGGCTAGCTAATCCCCATTGCAGGCGCCTGCTCAGGCACATTTTGTGTTTGTTCAACAGCCACAGTGCCCACCTGAGTTACAGTTTCTGGAAGAGTGTGCGTTATCTAGCATGATCAACAGTCTGAACAAGGCCAGCACATTCAGACCCTCGATTACGATGACTTGTGACTTTGTATTAGCACAACCATCGATGGCTCCCAAGGGTTCAATCTACCCAATTTTACTCACAAGGCTTGAGTCAGCACATGGTAGGGTTTTAAGGCACTTTTCAAAGGTGCCTCATGCTGGGATTGCCTCCTTCAGATAGGATAACATCAAGAAACTAATCTCCTAGCTAATCACCGTTACAGAAATCAACATCCACAGAGCCCACCTGTGGTTTATACAGCAGACCTTAGTTACAGTTTCTGGGAAAGAGCATGTTATCTAGTGTGATCAACAATCTGAACATGCCCATGAAGTTAGACTCCAGGGTTTTAGTTAATGCCTAGGCAGTGGCCTCAGACATTAAAACAGCCTCTATCGTGGCTTGAAAGCCTCTCTGCTTGAGGTTGTGTAGTGGATTTCCAGATTACATCCATTTTATCCAAGGCAGCCCAGGCTTTAACCATATGAATTTTCACTTTCTTTTCAGTAGAATTTCTTTCACTTCCCACGAAAGTACAAGGATTCAACAGATTTTATTAATTCACCTGAGACAGTTTTTATCGTGCTTTGGTTGTTGAAGCCTATGACTTCAGTTTTAGGTGCATTGACATTGTTGGCAGCATTTTCTAGATGATGTAGAAGAACTGTGGCATTGCTAATGGTGTCTGCAGTGATAGGTCATCTGCATAGTCAATATCTGTCAACCTTTTTTTGCAGGATATCTACTTAAGAGTCTTGGAGATAAATTAAAACCTAGATGATGATGTTTGTCAAGGGAAGTTCTCAATACGTAGTCAACGATGATAACAAAGAATGTATTCCTGGATAATTTTGAAACATTAGTAACAAATTTAAGCTTTCATCATCATTCAAATACAATAGTTTCCGTAGATGAATGTCCAAGCTTCAAGCTAAAATTGATGTAAATGTGAATGTGATAGTCAAACAATATACAAGTGCATTTGATGGCATCTCACTACCAGCTGAGTGACCCTAGAGGAGAGTATCAATTCACACATGTGCAGTAATATCCCTCCTGGCAACTATCCAGACAGTACAATCAATTAATCAGATATTCAAAATGCTGACACATTCTAAAAAGAAATTGCATTATATCATCTACCATTTTGTAGATTAGACATTGGAAGATATAATGAAAAATTAATGTATGTAGATTGGAACAAGGAAAGGGCTGGACAAGAAGGAATCTAATATAGATTATCAGGATTTAATTTTAAAATTACGCACTCAATATTACAGTATCATGTCTACTATTTTGTAGATTAGACAAGATTTTTCATTTGAAGTTTCACTGAAACATAATGTATTGTTGTGTAATGGGAGAAAGCTATAGAAGAACAATTTATTCTCCTGTTTGTATTTCCCCCATTATGAGCATTATTATATCTGTGATATAATAACACCGTAGCTCACTGACAGAACAGAATGGCTGAAAGGAAAAAGTATGATAAACATGAATTGTTCTCAGACTTTTATATCACTAAGACATACACAATACTATATATACATATATACACATGTCCCACACAGAGAATAATATATCATATATATCTACACAGAAAAGCAGAGTGTAAGGAGAAACAAAAAGGAAGGGTCTTACATATAATATGGAGATACTTCTGTGTCTGGAGAAGATATGTTCAGAACACCAGATTAAAATGAGCTGGATTTATCTATGTCCCAGTTGAGGATATGTTCCATGAAAGGGAAACAGGGAGTCTTGGGTTTTTCCAAATTGAGGATTGCAACTTGGAGTTTCATTCTATATCTAGGAAAGATATGTACCCAAAAAATGGCACTATCGACCTCTGCGAGAGGCAGATTTATCCTCAGCCTGAGTGAGCCATAGGCCCAGGCAAAAAGAAAGTAACCTCATATGGTAGCTGCTGTACACAAACTGAAAATTGACTTCCATTTTGGCCACTGCATGAATTGACGTCACTAAGTGGCC